ACAACAGTACATCAGTTTTTGTCCTGACGGTCAAGTGCTTCTTTTTAAAACCATGACCACAAGCAACTGTTAAAAATAGCCTCATGACAGAAAAAACAAAGCTATTTTCTCCCAGCTTGCCAACAGCAACAGAGACACTGATCTTGTCCTTCCAGTCAGAGGGCATTCCAAGCATGCTGAGTTTCCACATGCCAACCAAGGAGTTAATTAACAAAGCTGACTTGTCCTAAGCAGGACACTAATGAAACGGAGTAAGACCAGAACACTCTAACACTGCTCGCCATCCAGACATGAGTCATAAATAGGGTAACATGAGCTTGTGGAAAATTCATGAAGTGTCAAGCCAAAGTCACCAGAGCTGTGCCTGGCTATGCCTTACCCTCCTTTGAGTTTCTTTTTCTTTGGTGTATCTTCTTCGGATGTTCGCCTGCCTCGACCGCGAGAGCCTCTTTTGTCTTTCTGACTTCGTCCCTCTATAAAGGAAAAAAACCACATGGTTTCAACCTATTTGAATACCAGAAACATCCCTGGCTGTTTTTCTTTTGATGCACTTATTGTTTTGAAATCCTTATTTCATATGTAATTGAAGAGGAATGCTGATTCTGGCATATTTGTGGCATAAAAATGTATTTCAAACTGGCAAGTAGTATGACTGAGAACCAAACTCTTGCGTTCACAGTTCTGGCAATGAAATCACTGCAGTACTGTTAGCCCACATCATTGCAGAAGATATAAATAGCATCGTATTTGATTAGACATGCTGTCGTCTTTTTTTTTTTTTAAGAAAAAAGTCAGTATATCTTTAAACAACCCACCAGTTAATTGGTTACTCAATAACTGATGTTAACTCTTATCCCCACATCTCTGGTCTTACCCCTTATTCCATAATTCAAAGGTAGAAAGCTGTGCTGCTGTTAACCATGCTCAAATTTCACTGTAATCATATGAGATTTCCAGTAGACATTACAGAAACTGGTACCTTCCTTTAACTCCTAATTTTTCCTGCTGTTCTCAGCTTGATTAGTATTCAAATTCTGGTAACAGGGGAAAATAGGCAAATCTCTTCCCCTCAAGAAGAGCTTAGAACTCACTCAGTAACAGATCAAGCCTGAAACAAAGACTGTTATACTCAAGAGCTGTAAGAACACCAGTTCAGTTTTGTCACAGCTAGTTCCCCCTTGGCCAGTAGCCTCCTTGCAACCAGTAACAGTGGGCTACCTCAGGATGATCTGGCAAGCAGACAGTAAGTTAGATCCCAGCACTAGGGTTTTTTTTTTTAATGTTTATTGCCCACCAGAACACTGTAAATACTTGAAGAGCATTAAAAACAACTAGAGAAGTACACAATGGTGTACTTCTTTTCTTCCTCCAGAAATAACAGCCTACTTTATACCTTAGCCTTTCTGGTTAGATACGCTCAGCGCTGGAAAACGCTGCGAACCATATAAAATCTACGCACTTTTCAGGCTTCGAGATCCAGGGTTTTCAAAGTCACTGCCTTCCAGTTTATCTTTCAGATCTGCTTCAAACCGCGCCAAGTCTGCATCCAGCCGGCGGATATGCTTATCCACCTGCACAGAAGAGGAAACCACAAACTGAATTAAAAAAAAAATAATACAAAAATCCCCAAATGAAAACAGGAAGGTCTAACAACTCTGCCGTTATCGGCATGAACAGGAGTATACTACTTCAGAGCAAAGCATGAGAGCGGTATCAGACTGGAAAAAGGGAAATGGTACACAGAAAGGGAATTCAGGCAGAGAGAAGAAGAAAACAGGCAAAAGCAAGAGGACTCAGTCCCTCTACAGACAAAGAGAAAGGAGGGAAAAGGGAGGTGGCATAGAGTCAAAGCAAGTCAGACTAATGGCTTGCAGAACAAAACAAGATGGTGACATATATTAAAAATAATTATTTTCCCTGCAATTTTCAAAATACATTATTCAACTATTATCCGTGAAATGCGTTGAGTAGATGAGTCTACTTTTCCTGACACTCCACTGGCACACTGAAAGAAATTTAGTAATAAATACAGGCTTCTGCTGCCTAGCTCTGATATCAAGTCAATACATGTTAAGTACCTTGTACTACCCTGGTTGCAATCATGCGGCTTACAGAACGGAGTATTTTAAAGGTATTTTAAGCCACCACCCCCAAACTGTGTTGCTGCAATACCTAGTCCTCAAATTAGTTATCTAGGATACTTTTCTGTTCCTGAGAAGTAATATCTTTTTCTGCAGTATTTGATGGTAATAAAACATACTGCAGCTGCAAATGCAGCAGAACTCAAAGCATCTCTAGAAGCTGGATAAAACACACCAAGTACAGTCAAAAGCATTGCCCTCACTCAAGTTTTGTCTAGGGGATAAAATACACAGAGATAAGAATTATTCAAGGGACAGCTAAATGGCCACAGGAGTAGGGGCAGAAGAAGAAAAAAGTGGAAACCTGCATATTTTTCCCACCAGGTTCATCGTGGAAAGTTTGGTGTCCAATATACAACCAGAATGGTGTGGGCTGACACATCTGCTTTCTTTTGTCACTTGGAAACCAAGGCAATTGAGATTTCCCTCCATTCCTCCACAATATAGTATTGAAGTTGACTTGAAAAACGTTGCTTATGACTAAGACCAGCCCTAAATAAATTATCAGTGACAGAGGAGCTGCTGGGGAGGAGGGAGTGGGGTAAATTTGCTGGTGACAGCAGACTGGATCTACTGATCAAGCAGTAACTCTTCACCGGACAAGAAGTGTACATGACACAAAATCCGGTAACGCAAGCAGAGGCTTTTTAGGGATGGCAACAGTAAGAAAAATAAGCGCAAGGACTAATAATTTGTTTGAGTAAGGTATTTAAGCAAGAACATAAATATGCCAGGGAAAATGGACACTGTGGAAGTGTCTTCCACATTCACCAGCACTCCAGAGTACGACCATTTTTAACAAAAGCCTCACTGGTTGCAATCCTCACCATCTCGTACGTCTGCATGGCCAGCTGGACCTTATCATCGCTGTACTCTTTACATTTGCTGTAGGCACTCTGGATTTTCTTCAGGTGTTCTACTCGCTCCTCAGGTAACATGTTCTTCACCGATTCAATGTATTCTGCTGCAAGGCTGTCGATTTCCGCTTTCTTATCTGAAAAACAAAGTATATACACGTGAGAAAGCTGTCTGCCAAAGCAAGAATTTTCTTTTTCTACCTCTTTATGGTATTTAGAAGACCGCTCCCGACAGTTTTCTGACTTCCCCTGATGCCTTAATGTATTTACCTTTTTTTTTTTTTTAAAAAAAAAAGAAGTTAAAGGTATTCACTCTTCGACACCTGTGGTATGACTCTGATGTGTCAAGCGTTTTACATTTAAGTCAGAGGAGGGTTAAGATCAGAAACTGAACCGATGGGTTCACGAGCTTCACCCTCCCTCCCCGCACACAGAACACTGTATTTGCCGCGTGGCCATTTACAACTCACCAACATGCAACCACACGCCAAGACAAACCTCAAATAGGAAAAGACATCGGTCTTGCAAGATATAGCAACCCATAACTCAGCAGATGCGGCGATACGTGCATGTAAGGCCAGCCGAGGGGCCATGGGGCACAGCGATCACACAGCTACAAATTCACCCACAACCGCTGAACCCCCCCCGCCATGTCCTGTGAGCTGGAGCCCTCGGGGAAAAGACACAACCAC